ATGAAATCTGGCCATGTGTAGCAACATGGATGGACCTTGGGGGGGTTATGCTGAGCGAAATAAGTCAGGCAGAGAAGGACAAATATCATATGTTTGCACGTATAGGAGGATTAGGAGGAACTTGACGGAGGAACGAGGGGGAGAAGAAGGGCGGAAATGGTGGGGGAAAGGGAGAGAGGCAAACCATGAGAGACTCTTGAATGCTGACAAAAACTGAGGACTGATGGGTGTGGGGGGGAGGGGGGGATGGGCATGGAGGAGGGCACTTTGGGGATGAGCACTGAGTGTTATGTAGAAACTAATTTGACAATAAACTATTTGTAAAAAAAAAAAAAAAAAAATTAGGGCATAATTTTACAGTTCACTTATGTTCTATAAAGTACATTCTTAAAAAGGAAGTCATTTTTATTTTATTTCTGTAAAGCTTTGCTCCAAGTGCATGGTTATAAATTGCTTACCTTGTCCATTTCCAGTATTGTCAACGTCAGCCAAACACAAACAGCCTTGATCAAATTCTTCTTTTTCTCCCAGAACAGTAGACCACCAATCACGGGCTTTAAATAAAGACATTTTCGTTCACTATAAAAAGAAAGCATTTATTTATAGTAAATATCTACTTCACACCATGAATTATGAATTAATTATTTCTTCAGGCATAGCAAATTAAACTTGGACAATGTTAAGAAAAACATTTCTGAATTTAACTTTAAGTTTTGTATTTTGCAGACATTATGTGAAACCATAAATCCAAATGGCTGGAAACATAATCAGATATTTTTCAATGCCAGTGGAGAGTCAGTCTGAAAAATTATTCATGTATGTTGAGCCAATTCTCTCTTCTGGGACATTTAGTAGACAAAGACACAAAGTAAGAAAAAAATTCTTTGGAGGATCAAGATTCAAATTTTAATAGCACTAGGTAATACATAATTCCTTAGCAAAATATCTAATCTTCCTTCAGTTTGGTCACTGAAAAGACTGCATCATCTCATGCCACAATGAGTTGCTGAGAAAAGCAAATAAAATCAAATGTATCAAATGGCTAATACTGGAACTAGTATATCACAGGTACTCAAAAAGCATTCACACTCTTTCCCCATTATAATTGTAGAAAGGCAAAATGGAAGAAGAAAATTCACACCAAAAAAGAACCAGGAAAACCAGGTAAAGGTGCATTTATCCCAGTATACCATTAACCACCTGTGATTCAAGCAACCCATAAATTTTCTCTCTGCTTTGATTCCTCATCTAGAATAAGGCTATACCAGCAACATCTACCACTGAGTTACTGATATGGTGAATGTGAATGCCCACTGGACCTCAAATTACAACACAAACATCACATACCCTGGGATTCTATGAAAGTTCATTTATCCAACATAAATGAGCCTTTCCTTCATGCTTCCCTGATTTAAATAATAGGAAATGCAGTCAATGTTCCTTATTCATCAAGACATTCCATACTATAAGGTCACAGCAAACATTGAGTAAAGATTGAACTACTGCCTCTAGGGGAAATAGAGAGGCTCCTGTGAGTCTCTAGTCACAACTTTTTTTCATCAACCAATCAATATATAACTTTGTTTTGTGTTTCTCTGTTTAAAAATACTTTACTTAATATATAGTTGATTCATTAACATTCAACTCAACAGCAACACTATAACTCATATTTGAAAGAAGCTTATCTGTGCATATATTTTCTCTATAAGGTACACAGCAGCTTTCTTGCACTTAGAAACATTACATAGCACTTCAGCATTACATTTGGGGACCACTTTAAACAACAAAAGCAAAACAAATAAATAAAACAAATCCAAACCACAGAGATGTGGAAAATAGAGCACTAAGTAGGCCAGAAAAAAGGACACTTATTTATAGTATAAGAGGTGAAACAAAAAGGCAAAGAATCACTGTGAATTGTAAAATTTATTATTATGAATAAACTTTAGCAAACAGGTAAACTCACAAATACGGAATCTGAAAATAACGAGGATCAACTATACATTGGAAAAATGTAAATCAGGGGCGCCTGGGTGGCTCAGTCAGTTAGGCATCTGACTTCAGCTCAGGTCATGATCTCACAGTTCGTGGGTTCGAGCCCCACGTCGGGCTCTGTGCTGACAGCCAGCTCAGAGCCTGGAGCCTGTTTCAGGGTCTGTATCTCCCTCTCTCTCTGACCCTCCCCTGCTCACGCTATCTCTCTCTCCTAGAAATAAATAAAAATATTTTTTAAAAAAAAATTTTTAATTAAAGATAAAAAATAGAAAATGTAAACCAATCTGCTTCTTAAAGTAGGCCTTCCACATAGGCTAATCATAGAAAGCAAGACTACTAGCTTTCATTAAGTTGGCCAAGAAATTAGCTGAGAATCATGCAGTGGCGAAAAATTCAGGAGGTGGTCAGTGTGAATTTGGGTCTACATTCCATACAAACCAAGAAACCAGGGGCGGGTTACTAAAAGCTACCAAAACTCTGCATACTGCAACTTCCCTAAAGAGGAATAAATAAGAACGCAGTAGAGGCAACCTATGAAATGTAAGAAAATATTTGCAAATTATATATCTAATTATGATTAGTATACATAATACATAAAGAACTCAAAAATATCAACAAAAATTGTTTTAATGGTCAAAGGACTTGAATAGACATTTAACCCAAGATGATTTACAAATGGTCAAAAAGCATGTGAAACAATGTTCAACATCACTAATCGAGGGAAATGCAAATCAAAAACATAATGAAATACCACCTCACACCCATTAGGACAGCTACTACCCAAAAAAAAAAAAAAAAAAAAAAACCCAAAACAGAAAGTAACAAGTGTTGGCAAGGACGTGAAGTGACTGGAACTCTTGTGCACTGGTGGTGAGAACCTGAAATAGTGCAACCACTACAGAAACTGTATGGTGGTTCCTCAAAAAATTAAAAATAGAAATTACCATATGATCCACTCATTCTACTTCTGGGTATATATCCAAAGGAAATGAAAGCAGGAGTTCAAAGAGACATTTGCACCCTTATGTTCATAGCAGCATTATTCACAACATCTAAAAGGTAGAGGCACCCCAAGTTGGATTGTCTATCAGTGGATGAGTGGATAAACAAAATGTAGTATATACATACAATGGAGTATTATCAGTCTTAAAAAGGAGGGAAATTCCGACATATGCAACATGAATGAACCTTGAGAACATTATGTTAAGTGAAATAAACCAGTAAAAAGGACAAATACTGCATGATTCCACTTATATGAGGTACCAAGGGTAGTCAAATTCATAAAGGGTAGAATGGTGGCTGCCACGGTTGGGATGAGAGAGAAGCGGGGAGCTTTAGTTTGACTGGTATAGAGATTCAGTTTTACAAGGTGAAAAGTTTTGGAGACTGGTTACACAAAAATGTGAATGTACTTAACACTACTGAACTGTACACTTAAAAATGTACACTTAAAAATGGGGTACCTGGGTGGCTTGGTCAGTTAAGCATCTGACTCTTGGTTTTGGCTCAGATCATGATCTCAAGGTTTGTGAGTTCAAACCCCACACCAGGCTCTGTGCTAACAGCACAGAACCTGCTTGGGATTCTCTCTCTCTCCCTCTCTCTATGCCCTCCTCTGCTCACATACTCTCAAAATAAATAAACTTTTTAAAAATTGGCTTTACTGGTACAGCCCCTCTGGAAAACAGTGTGGAGGTTCCTCAGGAAATTAACAATAGAACTCCCCTATGACCCAGCAATGGCACTGCTAGGAATTTACCCAAGGGATACAGAAATGCTGAGGCATAGGAGCACATGTACCCCAATGTTCATAGCAGCACTCTCCACAATAGCTAAAACATGGAAAGAGCCTAAGTGTCCATCAACAGATGAATGGATCAAGAAGATGTGGTTTATCTATACCATGGAATACTACATGGCAATGAGAAACAATGAAATCTGGCCATGTGTAGCAACATGGATGGACTTTGAGGGTGTTATGCTTAGCGAAATAAGTCAGGCAGAGAAGGACAAATATCATATGTTTGCACGTATAGGAGGATTAGGAGGAACTTGACGGAGGAACAAGGGGGAGAAGGGCGGAAATGGTGGGGGAAAGGGAGAGAGGCAAACCATGAGAGACTCTTGAATGCTGACAAAAACAGGACTGATGGATGTGGGGGGGAGGGGGGAGGGGCATGGAGGAGGGCACTTGTGGGGATGAGCACTGAGTGTTATGTGGAAACTAATTTGACAATAAACTATTTGTAAAAAAAATAAATAAATAAACAAAAAAAAATAAAGAGGGTCCAAAGTTAAAAAAAAAATTGGTTTTAAAAATTTGTAATAAAAATAAAAAAATAAAATAAAAAGGTTAAGACAGTAGGGCACCTGGGTGGCTCAGTTGATTAAACACCTGACTCTTGATTTTGGCTCAGGCTATGATCTCACGATTTGTGGGTTCCAACCCCACATCAGGCTCTGTGCTGGCAGTGCAGAGCCTCCTTGGGATTCTCTCTCTCTTCCTCTCTCTTTCTCTCAAAAATAAATAAAATAAACTTTAAAAATATTTTAAATGGTTAAGATGGTAATTTTATGTTATATTTTCTCACAATTCAAAATAAAAAATAAATAAAAACTTAGTTTGAAAAAAAGAACATTCTTTTATTAGCACAATACTTGGCACATATAAGTACTCAATAAACATTAGCAATTGCTATGGTTTTTACCCTTTTTATGATATTTTTTAAACCTACACTGAAGAAAAGAAACAAATGTCCTTCTATGTGTAAACAAATGAACTATGGTATGTCCTTACTATGGAATAAAACTCAGCAATTTTTTTAAATGAAGTAATAACAACTTGGATGGATCTCAAGAGCATTATGCTGCGTGAAAAAAAAAAAACAAAACACCCAATCCTAGGGGTGCCTGAGTGGCTCAGTTCGTTAAGTGTCTGACTCTTGATTTCAACTCAGGTCATGATCTCAGGGTCACAAGATTAAGCCTCGCATAGAGCTTGACATTAAGCATGGAGCCTGCTTAAGATTCTCTCTCTCCCTGTCTCTCTGCCTCTCCCCCTGTTTATGCTCACACTCTATCTCTCTAAAATAAAAGAAATAAAACAAATAAAAAGTCTTTAAAATACATAATCCCAAAAGATCGCATATTAAATAATTCCATTTCTATAACATTTTCAAAATGACAAGATTAAACTGATGGAAAACAGATCAGTGGTTGCCAGGGTTAAGGGAAGGTATGACTTTAACAGACTAGTAGAAGGGGATTTCTTTGGGATGATGGAAAAGTTCTGTACCCTGATTTTGGTGGTCGTTTCATGGGATAAATTTTAATTTCTTTGAGGCATATTCTAAAAAGAAAAGTGTATGTAATGTAAAACCTAGTAAATCTAAAGAAGACTTATAGTTTAGTCATAGCATTGTATAGATGTCAGTTTAGTAATTTGATAATTGTTCTGCTATTATTAGGAAATCACTACTTTTGCAACTTCTATGTGAGTATAATATTATTTCAATGACCAGTTTAGGGAAACAAACAACAGGGGAAGGAAGGAAGGAAGGAAGGAAGGAAGGAAGGAAGGAAGG